CCCCTGGAATGCAAGTTACAAATGATTGTGAATAGGCATGTGGATGCTGGGACTAGAATCTGAGTCCTCTCAAAAGAGCAGCCAGCACTTAACCACTAAGCCACCTCTCCAGTTCCAATCCTTTAATTTTTTTAACATCACCCGACAATTTTCCCACAGCATTTTTGTCCCACCCAGTATCTTGTGAGACTGTAACTAACAGAGTTATATCTGCTTTAGGATTTTATAAGCAAGGAGCCCTTTCAGGCAAACAAGTCCATAAAACTAAGCATAGAATTTGAAATGATAATGATCAAAATTGACCACATCTAGAAAAAAAAATTGTTGTTGGTTACTATGCTTAATTATAACTGATTTAGCTCTATTTTTCTTAAGAGATAATTCAATCCATATATGTCTACTGAATACCTCAGATATACTAATTGGTAATAAGCTACTTCTAGATATGTTTTACATAAGTGAGGAACTCTACACCTATCACTGAGGACCCCTACACATACCCAGTTTTGGTGCCCATAGAGGTTTAAAGTCAGGGCCTTGTGCATTCCTTATTTGCAGTGTAATTTAGGGGAGGATGACCATGAAGAACTCCTGATTCTCCTTCCTCCACCTTCCAAGTGCTAGGATTACAGATTGCGTGCCACCAGGTCTGGTTTATGTGGTACTGTAGATGGAACCCAGTGTCTCATGCATACTAAGCAAAGACTGTCAACTGAGCTATATATAACATCACCAGTCCCTTGAGGAGCACTCTGTACTGACCTACATCCGCAGCCGCAAATGACATCGTGGTGGAAAGAAAAATGAAGAAAAGATACTCATACTCTTGTATAGTGATACATACAGCAGACACCCAGAGTAAGGAAACCCACCCATGAGCTCAAGAAGTAAAGAAAACTTTACTATGCAAACACATGTACTAACAAAGATTTGCCTGGAATTGGCAAAACGTTAATGGCTGAAGTGGGGTGATTTTTAGAATTATTTCACTACTTTTGCAAATCTGAAGGTTTTCCTCAATATATTCTTATGGGCCCACAAGTTAGCGCAGTGGGTAAAGACAGTTGTAACACAGGCCTGGTGACCTGAGTTCAACCTCCAGAGCTAACAGAGGTGGAAGAAGGGAAGTTCTACAAAACTGTGACCTCTATCCCACACCACCCCCTACATCATACATGGATATATACAGTAATAGTAAATCTTAAAAGAATTTTTAAGTGAATTAAAGGGCAGAAGAGCCCTTCAAAGGGAAAGAAATAGCATGTACTTGAAAGCACAAACCAATAGCATGTACTGAAAGCACAAACTTTGGGTGAGGGGGCCCTATGGCATGAGGAAATATGTCCTCACTTCTAACACTGCAGTACTAAAGGATAAAACTTCCATGAGAAAGTCTTCTGTTACACAGGCTCACAGTAAAATGCACTTGTATCGCTGAGCATGGTGGTGCACACCTTTAAGCCCAGCACTCAGGAAGCAGAGGCAGGCAGATCTCTGGTCTATAGAGAGTTCAAGGATAGCCAGGGCTACATAGAGAAACCCTGTCTTTAAAAAAGCAAAACAAAATGCACTTGTATCAGGAAGGTTATCTCCTGCAACAGGCTTTTAACCCCATGCTCATGATTCATACATTTGAGTTCAGATCTCCTAAGGATTTGTTTAAAATAATCTGGCTTCAAATTCTTTAAATGATAAATGAACTTGAAGAATGAAGAAATCTAAGCCTGAACTCATTCTAAAACTGCATATTACTTATGCCTCACGCACTTCTTTCACATTTAAAACGTCAAATGCTAACTCTTCAGGTTTGCTAACTGTTACTTATAACGGATTCTGGTTTTATGTCCCACAAAACTATTCAATACCAGCTACAGGATTTAAGGGTTTGGTTTGGTTTGATTTGGTTTGGGAGATAGCATCCTATGCAGCCTAGGCTGGCCAGTAGCCAAGGCTAAGTTTGAACTTCTAATCCTCCTGATACCACTTCCTAAGTACTCACATTATAGACATCTATCCCCACACCTGGCTCCATACAATTAATCCTTTGGAATACAGGATTGTGATAGCCTTAACAGAAAACCCATCAACATCAATGCAACAAAAAGCCAAAAAAATAAAACACCAATGATGTCATTATGAGTCACTGATGTGTCCAGCAGGAGGGAGGTCCATGCCTCCAAGTTTCAAACACCACGGCAAAAATCATAAATGCAGGCCTTAGTCCAGATAGCCCAATCTGGTTCATCATTATTCTCTCACACTGATCAAGACATACCGTTCCTTTGGAGTCAAGGACCAGTGCTCATGACAAAGTGGTTAGGAAGGGAACAACGGAAAAGCAGAAATCAGGAGGAAAGGACATTCTATCTGCTGTAATCTTATGTCTCTGCTTAGGACAGCAGAATGCACAATTTGGACAAGACATCTTTATTTAGAGTCATTATACATTATACTGTCTCATAAGCAGAATCCAACTAGCAGAAAGCATATCTTCATACTACTATAGAACTGAGGCTTGTATTTTTTTTTTAAATCACCAATAACACTGTAATAAACAAAACAAATGCTCTCTTCCTCCCCTTAATCTGATTAGAATCTGCTATCACTGCTCATCTTTCTCCTCTGTGACTGTAAATTCCACTTCCCTGGCTGTGCTCCAAAGTTCTTTGTAATACCATCAACATTAAGAGATGATGTCATGATCAAAGTAAGCAGAAGTAGAATCTACCATGCAGCAGGTAATAAGAATACAGAAGTCATTCAAGGTGGGTGATCTACCTCTTTTGTGTGTCCATCAGAGCTCTTCACACTGAAAATGGTCAATAAATCTCTTATATGAGTTAAAACAGATCAACTGAAACAGTCTGTAATAGTCTAACCTGAATGTTAATGAAAAATAACATCTTTTCAAAACTGAGCGCAAAAAGAAAAAAAACCTTTTTCACACCAAGAGCTTCAATTGTGCTACAGATTTAGACCTCTCAACCCGTATTTTGTTAAAAATAAATGTCCTTGGGGCTGGGGAGATAGTTCACTGGTTAAGAACACTGGTTGTTCTTTCAGAGGACCTGGGTACAATTCCCAACGCCTACCTAGCTAACTGCCATCTGTAATTCCAGTCCCAAAGGAATATAACCCCTTTGGCTTCCATAAACACTGCACACAAGTGGTACACAGAGAAACACGAAGGCAAAACACCCATACAGTGAAATAAAAATAAATACAAACTAAAAAGTGATAAAAGAAAAAAATCCTTACTATAATTTTTTGTTGTGCGTTGAGTTCCCTGTTCATTTTTATAAACAAAACCGATAGCATCAAAAACTCCAGCTAGCAAAGAGTGTAGAGAAATGCTGCCAATATCTCTAAATGGCTGAAGGGTTTTTAGTTTTGTTTTGCTTTTTCATGAAAGGGTTTGAAGCACTTTGTCTATGAGACGGAGGGACGAAAGAAAAAAGACAGGAAGATGAAGTTTTCAGGCAAGAATCCCAGGCTCTAATTCTATTTTCTCAGCTAAGTTTGGGAGGGAAGGTCATTTTCTGAGAGAAAGCAGGGAGGGTGCTAGGTAAGACTTGATGAAGGAAAGACATGAATCAGTCATTTAGGAGAATGGAAGACAGTGAAGGACAAAAAACAAATTAAAAATCCATACTCCTAGCAAAAAGGTAAACAAGAGGACAGTAGATATACAATTCAGCTGACTGTCACTAAATAGTCCAGGTCCAGGCCTACAGCTCAGTTATCGTAAGCAACATTCAGTTTCTTAAAGAAAATGTGACATAATTCTACAGTAGCAATAAGGTGACTTTTCTGAGTACAAAAGTACAGGAAACATGAAAATAACATCAGCACAAGCAAATAAACCTACATGCAAGCTTTCCTGGTGCTCTTTTCTAATCTACATTAAGGAAACAAGACTGAAAAAGCAGCAGTAATGTGGAGGTCTGAAAATCCCCTGGGGTGGGCTGTGAAACCATCTGCCTGAAGATTTTCATCTGGTGTTCCGCCAAATAGTTACTAATGACTTCAAGACACTGGGCGGGGAAGATTATAGAGAAGGAAGAGGGGGAGGAGAGGTTGGGAGTAAACTTCTCCCTCCTTTGCTCTTCATATAATTATCAGAAACTGCAGAGTATCTCTAACGCTACTCCCCATCCCCACCCCACATCGAAAATGAAAGTCATCCAAGCAGCCAAGTCAACAATACTAGTTCCTCAAAGCTTCAGCGAAGTTTAACAGCTTAAAACTACCTAAAAAGAAACACGTTTTTGGAAATCGCAGCAAATTAAGTTCCATATAAACAGATACTGGGAACTGTAGCTTAAAAAAAAAAAAAAAATCACAGAAAGACTTTCTACCGAACCGGGAACCAACAAGACCATCCAACTGCCGTGACAGAATCACATATATCCTGGAGCCCAGGAAATGCCAGCAGCGACACAGAAGGCTCTCAGTACACTCTCAGTACTCTCAGTACAACTCTTCCAAACCGTGGTGGGCTTAGATGAAAAGCCCTTGACAGGCAGGGAGAGTGGTATACCAAGGAAAATCTGACCCAGTGTAAATCCTGGCGAACTTCTAGACTCAAAACAGAGGACTTTCTGGCTACATCACTAAACGTCTCAACAGAAACTCCAGGAGACAACGAAAAATAAAATGGCTTTACCACCGGATTTCTCTTTCCATTCGGACAAAACAACGTCCGAACTGGATGCCTGCAGGAGGACAATAATTGTTTCGTCAGGAGAATTGGGGGGTGGGGGCGGGTGGAGGCCTGCGTACTTCCCGAACCCGAAATAACGATCCTATATCCCTATCCCCCTCCCAAATCCTGCTGAGCCCCATCTCCCAAAGTACCCAGCCTCCGTTCACAGTTAATCACCCCAAAAAGTAGAGTCCCCCAACTTCCAGGTCCCCGCCTCCCGCCCCCCAGTCCCGAGTCCCACCAGGCGCGCGTGCGCACTGGCCGGGTGGAGCGGCCCTTGCCCGCCTGCCCTTACCATGTACCAGGTCCCCAGGATGATCGTCCCGGTGCGGACATGGCAACAGCCGCAGCACCGGGTGCTGTAGAACCGGTCGCTGCGGCTCCGCTTGAAAGTCATGGACACCATCGGGAACCTCGCGGGCCTCGTTCTCGCCCAGGCCCCTGACAAAAGCTTTCGGCCCAGCGTTAGAACCCAGACGACTCGACGACGCTGTCCAAAGCCAAGAGAGGCGTCTTCTGGTCCGCCCTCCCTCAGGGTCCCTGCCAACTCCTGTGCGCCTGCGCGCTGAGCGCCGGACGCCGCTCTCGCGCGACCTCGGCTAGCCCGCTCTCCCTCCGCCTTCTGCCTCATGGAGACAAATGAGGAGCGGAAGGCTGAGGTGGGTTGGAGATCCTGGCTTTTGATTGGAGAAAACGTGGAGATTGACAGAGCTCACGCCCAATCAAAAGTTTAGCTCTCTCCGGGCACTGTTTGCTCTGCGTGAACCGGGCCCCGCTCACGGTCTGGGGCTCTGTAGGTCTGTAAGTCTGTTCACCATCCCGAGACGAGCCCGGTAACCAGGCGTTTAATCAGAGAAGGGAGAAAGAAACGAGACGGGGTTGGATGGCAGACAGCGGGCACGGAGATCTTTGGCGCTGTCTTTTGCCACGTTGTCTTTGTCACAGGACTGCGACGTTCACGTGACGTGTTCACCCAGCTCCATTGTTGGGCCGGCCAGGGGCGTGCCTGTGGGGAAAGGAGCGTGGCTACCCTGCAGGCGGGGTCCTCTGGTTCTGGCCAGAATCGAGGCTCACCGTAAGGATAAAGGATAGGATTTTTGCCCTTCCCCCGTTGCTCCGTAGCCTACTTGGAGGGAGCCAGGAAATACCACTGGACTCTTGGCTAAAGGCCAAGGGATTAACGAAAGTGACAACATGGTTAAAGTGGAAATACCGCTTAGCGGCTGGGTTTTTATAGATAATAGTGATTTTTATTTTGAAGAGAAAGATTGTGAAGCACATTGAAATAGGCCGGAAAAACAAAACAAAACACGGTCTTAAGTGAGAGGCAAGCCACGCTTTTCTGCATGTTCTGAGTGAACTTCAGCTTTCTTTGGGATGCTGAACATGTCTAAAACATGTTCACTACACTTAACTGAACCTTAACCCTTCTCAAAGAAAGCCATTTGACATAAATTGGGTGATTCATTCTTCAACAGTGGGTGCTTTAAATTCATCCTATTTTAATTGCTTCTAATATCTTAGGATCCTCATTAACTGAGTCACGTTTTTGACTGAATTCATTCTGTATTTGTATAAGGCTTGTGGCTACCTTGAAAAGAAATGTAATAGTGTGCCAGTGTGCATAATCAAATAAGCACTGAATATTTCAGAGAACCTCAAAAAGAAAAATGTGTTTTGGGGGAGGATGTGGAAAGAGGGAACAGATGATGGGACAAGTCCCTTAACTTTGCCTACCATAGTGGAAGCCAGTACAGAATGCTAGAAGTTTACTGACAGAAATATATGTCTACATACTGTGGGCATGGACTGGGCATGAGATGGCTCAGTGGGTAAAGTGCTTGCCAAGCAATCGGGAGGACCTGAGTTCGGATTTCCAGGCCCTATGAAAAGCCAGGCACCATGGCTTTACCTTTTTATAAAACCCAGCTCTGTTACAGCCAGACAGATGTTGGAGTCAGAAGAAATCCCTGGAAGCTCACTGGCCCAGCTATCCTCGTATATGAAGAAGCAAACACGAGAACACAGAGACTTGTTGGTTTTTAAGGATCCTAAGATGTCTGTGTGAGTAGATGCCAAGTGTGTGGCAGTTGGGAGAGGAAGCCAGAAGAGGACAGCAGTTCCCCCTGTGGCTGGAGGCTATGTGATGTGGGTGCTGGGAACTGAACTCTAGGCCTCTGAAAGAGTAGAAAGCACTCATTTTGGTTTCTTAAAGATGGTATATTATGTGTATGAGTGTTTGGCCTGAGCATATGTAAGTGTCTGGTGCCCACAGAAGGCCAGAAAAGGCTGCTGGTGGGAACCAAATCCAGGTCCTCAAGTGCTCCTAACCACTGAGCATCTTTTCATATAATCTAACATATAACCTAACATATCTCCCTTTCTCTTCCCCCTTTTATTCTCTGTTTTGTTGTTGCTATTGTTTTTGTTGTTTTGAGACAAGATCACAGGCTAGCCTCCAACTGACTATGTAGTTTAGTTTATCTTGAATTTCTGATTCTCTTGCTTCTACCTTCTTCTGTCTACTGATCCTTTACCTATGCCACACCCAGGGTTTTGTACATGCTATGCAAATACTGTACTGAGCTACATCTCCAGCCCTTATAATCTTGTTTTTTATTTAAAAAATAAAATAAAAAATATTTATCCTTGGTGCTTACCTTTTTCTCTTTATCCCTCTCCCATCACCATTGCTCTGTTAAACCTAGCCTTATAAGCCTGACAAGATTCAGAGTTGCCTTACCCAACCTTTTTTGTTACTTGATACTCCTGGGAATCTGATGGTCACCTCATCCTCTCTATTCTAGCAGTCATATTTTATCACGGTACATACATGCTTTCCAGAAGTAAAGTAATAATAAAAGGCTTATAAAATCCACTGGTTCCTTTCCCTACCATCTCAAGTCCTTTTACAGATCTTCCCCATTTCCCCATAGACTCATCTGTACTCTGTCTTGAGGCTACCTTTGATGCTTACGGCCACCCATTCTTGAACCCATCCTTGTATTTGTCTCTGTTCCCTATGAGCCTTTCTGATTCTTATTAAAAGGAAAGAGTCAACTTTTTCATCCCTTTAGTCCTGAGTTTCACTATTTCCACTAATGTGGGACAAACATAAAATGAGCACTTGAAAAATGCTAGTGCCTTGGCCTTGCCATTTTAGTCCTTTCTCAAAACCTGCGGAAACTCTAAAGAGCCTGTGGTAGCTTGCTGCACAGTGAGGGATAAACAGGATAAGCCATTGCTCTTACCCCTGGAGGCCCAAACCACATGATGTGTGCAAACTCTAGGTCACCTTTAGGTCCTCAGATCAGTTTACCAGCTGACCACAGAGTTCAGCTGAGCTGCTGATTGAAACCAGAATAGATGTCCAGTTTATCATGTTCTGAGAAATCTTTTAAATGTATATTGTTTGAAGCCTATAGTTCCTAAGTGGCTTATTACTAAGCAAAAGTTATGCAACACTTTCAGCTTTTCCCTTTATACTCCGTACAATTTCATATTCTTTTTGTTATTGTTAAAAACATTCTGTGTATGATGTATGAGAGTGCAGATGTGTATGAAGAGGTCAGAGGACAGCATTTGGGGGCTGGTTCTCTCCTTCCACTGTGGGTTCTGGGGATTAAGGGACAAGCATTTTTACCTGCTGAGCTATCTAGCTGCTCTGCCCTTTTAATCTGTATGTTTCCTTATGTGCATGTCTGTGTCTATAAGTGTTGCTGTGTACATGACACAGGGGTCATGTCAAAGTCAGAATAAACATGTGATACACACTCACACAAACACACATTGTCTTGATCACTGTTCTATTACTGTGAAGAGACACCATGCCCAAGGTAACTCTCATAAAAGAAAACATTTAATTGGGGGCTTGCTTACAATTTCAGAGGCTTAGTCCATTATCATCATAGCAAGGAACACGAAAGCAGGCGGACATGGTGCTAGAGAAGTAGTTGAGAGCTACATCCTGATCCACCTGCAGAGAGGAAAGAGAGACTAGGCCTGGTATGGGCTTTTAAAACCTCAAAGCCCATCCCCAGTGGCATACCTCTTCTAACAAGGCCGCACCTCCTAATCCTTCTAATCCTATCAAAGAGTTCCACTCCCTGATGGAGAAGCATTCAAGTACATGAGCCTTGGGTGGGTTGGCATTCTTGCTCGAACCACTACACCCAAACACATAAATGTTTTAAAATCTTAAAAATTACAGGAGAGAATGAGATGCTGAATTGATACGTAGTCAGAACAAACCCCTATCATACTGTGACTGATTTGTGTGTCCATACATCTCTCTTTCCACCCACCAATACATCCATTATCTACTCACCCATCATCTACTTTGTCTCCCCCTTTCCCAAAACCCCCCAGCCTCTGTGTTTTTGTAATGTTCATCTTAGGGACTCATGTGAGATAGAATCACATGTAGGCAAGGTAGCTTTGACCTTAATGTCAAGGATTACCTTGAATTTCTAATCCCCTAATCTCAACATCCCAGATACAGGCATATGCTATATGCACTGTTTTATGAGGTGCTAGGTTAGTTAGGGTTAGGGATGGGGATCAATCTCAGAGCTTCAGGAATGTTTGTTGAGCACTCTACCAATTAAGCTGTATCTCCAGCCTCAACCCTTTTTATTCTATGGTATTTTAATGGGAAGAACTAAGAAGATGCAGAAATAGTGCTTCATAATAGGCACCATCCACGTGGCACTCCATATGTGGACACAATTCATATCTGTGACTGGTCACCAGCAACCCAGGCTGGTTTTGCTCAATGTCTGTGTGATTTGTCTTTCTTTCTGTCTAGAGTAAACTTCTGGATGGATTGGACATGTTTATATATCTTTTTATTTACCAAGCCACCTGGCACTAAGACCAGTTTGATAAATATTTGCTGATGGCTGGGCAATCCAGAAATATGGGTCATTCGCCTTGAATGGCAGAAAAATGGACCATTCAGACTCTGAACAGCATTTATTTTATAGAGTTCCACTCTCCTGACTGTGCAGGGTTTAGGCATTTGGTGTTAGCACTAGCCATTTAAAAATGTGACCTTCTGTGACATAAGATGTCTCTCACAGCTACATGACATGACCCAGGTATCTCTGCATCGGCATCAGTGTTTGTTTTACCCTCCCTTTCAGGGTTTGGTAATGAGGGGATTTCAAGAGCCACAAGCAATTGATGAGTCTGTAAAGCCTGGAGTTGGCTTAGTCATGACCACAACTGACCACTGTTTATGTAGCTTCCGAGCCACCCAAGTTTAGGTTGTTATAGTCTAAGAATAGCCACACATTGACCACTCGGGACACCAAACTCAGCTAGATAGAAGTTTATTGAATGCTGAACAAAGACTGACAGGTCAGGGACACAGTCTGGATCTGGAAACCAAGACTGTGACATTGAGCTGTTCTCAAAGCAAGTTTTTAAAGGAAAAAGACCATAACCAAGCGGGAAGAATCAATTCTATTCCAGGTATAGCGTGTCTAGTCAAGCAAGAAGAATCAGTTTTGTCCCAGGTACATTGTGTCTAGGTAGACAAAGCTGACCTTTAAACTGATTGG